CTGGGCAACAGAGTGAGACTCCAACTCAAAAAAAATAAAAAATAAAAAAATAAAATAAAAACTTAATTAAACTGAAGGGGTTATTAAATTAAAGGAGAAAATTAAGTAAACAGCTTCATTAAAAAAATTAAAATATAATTTTCAGAAATAAAAATTCAGAAAAATAAAGAATAGCGTGTAAATAAACACTTATCTTCCCAATACCCAAAACTAACATTTTATGTTGATGTCCAGTTTTGCCATTGTTGTTTTTTATTAAGATGATGCTACAGTCTTTTCTGACCATCAACTCGTCTCTCCTCCCTACTCCCAGTTACCATCAGGTAACTTCTGTCTTAAGAGAGAGTGTTTCCTTCCAGTCCATTTAAAAAATATTTATCTCAATAAACAATGTTACATATACATATATCAAAATTTTGTATTTAAATTTGCCTAGGTGGTACCACACTACGCATATCTACTTTTTTTTCACTCGGTACTGCTTTTTATTAATGACAGAAATTATTAATAACCTCAACAGTCTCTAGGATAGAATGATTTAATACTTTTATATTCTTAATCTGGTAGCAATAATGGACTTACAGAGATTTATAAAATGTTCACTAAACATTTTTTTGGAAAACAATTAGTAGATTTCATCACATTTTCAAAGAGGTCTTTAACCTAAAAGATATTAGACCCACTGTTTATCTCTCTCCATTCTTGCATTCTGCAGAATGCAAATTCTGATTTTTACCTTTCAGTTTTAGAAACTTTTTTGTGTTGTAGAGGAATAGTCTATCACCAAATCCTCGTCATTCATTTAAAAAAGCTTACGTGATGGAAACTGTACAAGACAGAGGCTGCCATCTTCCTGTTTGAGCTGGACCCGGACTCTGCCTCTGTATTGGACATCACGATTCCATTCTCTAGAGTACATTTTATTTTTCTAACACAAATAAAACAAAAACAAGCTTTAAGAAAGTTATCACATCAGTAAAATGAGTATGGAAAACAATGAAGAAGATTACATCATACCTCAAGAAACACATTAAGTCCAACTGCTGAGCACACGTCTTGAATCTCCGTAGCTGTAGGATTTTCAACAGCCTGGACAGTTAAAAACAGAAACACTGAATAGCTTAGCTTTAAATGAATATTGCTATAATGTTACATAAATCATTTCAAATACTACCATCAAAACAAGTACCAAAGTCTTAAGTTTCCTTTTTCACAGTTGTTTCAAGTGTAAATTTGTATTTGTAGGAATTTTAAAAATTCCTGGGAATAACACTGAAGCTTACCTGTGTGCTCATCTCCCCAAAAGAACATTACTTCTTAGGGCATAGACTGTCACCTAGCATGGTAGGTTGAATATAGTAGATGCTCAATGAACATTCACTGCTTAAACAATTTCACACACAACCACTTTAGAAAACTGTCCAGCTGTATCTATTAAAGCTGAACATATGCCATTCCCTATGGCTCTGATATTCCACTCTTAGGTGCATTCAACAGAAATGCAAAACTACATCCATTAAAAGACAAGCTCAAGGATGTTCATAGCAGCACTGTCTATAATAGCCCCATGCTGAGTGTGGTAGCTCATGCTTGTAATCTCAGCACTTTGGAAGGCTGAGGAGGGAGGATTGCTTGAGTCCAGGATTCCAGACCACTTGGGAACACTGTAGAGACCTTGTCTCTACAAAAAAATTTGAAAATTAGCTGGGTGTGGTGGCATGTGCCTGTAGTCCCAGCTACCTGGGAGGCTGAGGTGGAAGGATCACATGAGCCCAGGAGGTAGAAGCTGCAGTGAGCTGTGATTGTGTCATTGCATTCAAGCCTGGGCAACAGAGTGAAACTTCAACTCAAAAAAAAAAGTGAGGTGGGAGGATTGATTAAGGCCAACCTGGGCAACATAGCTAGGTTCCATCACTGCAAAAAAATTAAAAAATTAGCTAGATATGGTGGCAAGCTAGCCTAGCTATTCGGGAGGCTGAGGCAGGAGGAACACTTGCACCCAGGAATTCATGGCTGCAGTAAGCTATAATCACACCACTGCATTCCAGTCTGGACAACAGAGCAAGACTCTGTCTCTAAAAAGCAAAATAAAACCAGTACATGACACAATTTTAAAAATAAAAAGTTCAGCTGGGTGTGGTGGCTTAGCCTGTAATCCCAGCACTTTGGGAAGAGGACTGCCTGAGCCCAGGGATTCAAGACCAGCCTGGGCAACTTAGTGAGACCATGTCTCTACAATAAATCACAAAAACTAGCCTGGCATGCATCTGCAGTTCCAGCTACTTGGAAGGCTGAGGTGGAAGATCGCCTAAGCCCAGCAGGTTGAGGCTTCGGTGGCCGTGAGTGTGCCACTGAACTCCAGCCTGGGTGAAGAGAGTGAGATTGAGACTCCAACTCAAAAAAAAAGAAATACTACAAAAGCCTTCACTTGGTATTAGATACTTTCCAAACTTAAGCCACCGGACCAACTAAAAACTTGAGTTTTCCTATACAAAGAGCATAAGGAAGAAATCATAGCTCTTTTTTGGGGAGTCAAAGACGCACTCTGAAGCCCAGGTTGGAGTGCAGTGGCATGATCATAGCTCTCCGCAGCCTCAACCTCCTGGGTTCAGGCAATCCTTCCGCCTCAGCCTCCTGAGTAGTTGGGACTACAGATGCGTGCCGCCACACCCAGCTAATTTTTTTGATTTGTTGTAAAGACGAGGTCTTGCTTATTGCCTAGTCTGGTCTCGAACTCCTGGGTTCAAGCAATCCTCCTTCCTGCCTCGGCCTCCCAAAGTGCTAGGATTACAGGTCTGAGTCACCATGCCTGGCATTATCT